GGGAGGGGGTGACGCATGTGGTGAGACAAGGTGGGAACATTATTGCGCGCGTGTGGCGAGACAAGGCGGGTATTCACTTTACTATTGCACACGTAGAAGACAAGGTGAGCTATGTCGGGGATTGATTTGTGATGGCCTGGGGGCACTGTTGTTGTTGCATATTTATTTTTGGGACTACTAGGCGGTAGCTCGGGAGTGCCCTTTGTTGATATTTTTCTATGGTTGTACTTGCCTTTGGTTATTTTTATTTTTCTCTGATATGTAAACTTCTTGTGTTCTTCCGTGATGTATTATTTGATTTTATTATGTGTTTGTATTCCTTGTTGTAATGTGTTGGCTTTGGCTTTTGTACGAGACTCTGAGGATTTGTGTTTCTAATTTTTACTAATTTTTAAAGTTAAGTTGTTTTGAATAAAAGAAATTGTTGTATGCTTTAATTCTTATAAGTTTTACATCCAAATCAGTAACTATCAGGTGTTTCATTTTAATTGAAATGTTATTTTCTCCACCCAAATGAATTCTAAAATAAATTCATTCCTTTGTTGATTCCATTGATAATAATATTGGCACGCGAACTGTCCGTGCAGCTGTAATATAAAAAGTGGGCACGAGGTACAGGAAAAATATGATGATTTAATTATGGGCACGAAGGGCCGAAGAAAAAAATATAAAAATGGGCTGAGACCCGTATTTTTATGATTATGAAATGAGGTGTCACATGGTGACTTTTAAATTGAAGAATTATATTTTTAAAGATATTTATTTGAAAGAGTTTTATATTCGAAGGATACTTATTTGAAGAAATATATTTGGAGGGTATTTATTTGAAGAGATTATATGTTAAAGACTTATTTAATTGGTTGTACTTATGTTCTTTCTTATTTGTGAGAGTAAAAATTGTGGTGTTCTTGCTGCCTTACTGTTTATATCACTGCTATTTGTTCTCGATTATTTTAGTATGGCACAGGTTATTTGACTAGTGAGTGTCTTGACTGTACCTCGTCACTACTCCACTGAGGTTAGTCTTGATACTTATTAGGCACCGCTGTGGTGTGCTCATTCTATACTTTTGCACATTTTTGTGCAGATCCAGGAATTTTGAAGTCAGTTGATCATTAACTAGTTGTGCAAACTGTTGCTGTGGAGACTCAAGGTAAACCTGCTGCTGCGTTCGCAGGTTTCGGAATCACCTTCTGATTTGTATTTATATTGTTTACTTTATTTCAAACAGTTGTATTCAGAAAATTTTAGCAAACTTTGTAGAGCTTATGACTTGTACTACTGGTTTTGGAAATTTTAAGAGATTTCTATTTAACTTATTAGATGTTATTTAAATAATGTTGTCGTTTCCATTAATGTTAGGCTTACCTAGTCCCTACGATTAGGTGCCATCACGATACCAAACGGAGGAAAAATTGGGTCGTGACAATGCCCTCAATCCATTCCTTTAGCCGAGGAATCGCATTCGGAACCCGGACGACAACTGCACAACCACAAGCATGAATGAGAAAAAAGAAATTAAAGGAAAAGAAAATCTTTGACGCTTGAAGAGAGATTGCACTTACGGGATGTGTTCCACTTCTCAGGGAATGACATGTACTCGGAGAGAATCAAGTCTTCGGCCTTCACCCGAACAAAGCATCCCTGCCAGCCTGGGTCTCGGTCTTCGTCAATACTCAAAAAAGGGACCTTGCTGGCCCGACGAGTAAGTTTGATCAGTCCCCCTCGAAAAATTCAGGGACTGTATAACCGAAGTAGATGATCGATCGTGAACCGAATAGACTCAGTCTTGTTCACGAAGAAGTGGAGGAGGATCACGATCCTCCATAGATATAGATGGATTTGCCTGAGGCACACCTCGTACCTCTTGCAAAAGTACAGAACAATCGGGTTCACCAGGCCCAGCGTGAAGGGGTAAGTGTAAACACTTAAGTACCCTTTCACGTGGGTAGTAATAGTGTCCTCGGGCCAGGGAACTACTACGTCTTTGCCTTCCCAATTACAGTCCTTTCGGACCATGGAAAAAACGTCTTCGGTCACAGAACATATGTACCTTGATGCTCTTTCACCCCTGTCCTCTTTACGTGAGAGTTGCTCGACCTTAAAGTCGTCTATAATTGAGCAGCCCGAGAATGAACACTTTCAAGGGACTTCGGTCATTGAATATCAGATGGACTTCTGTCATCAAATTCCACAAAGATCTGTTTAAGTTATTTTATTGGGAATTACTAACCAAAATTCGTGCCTCGAACACACATCACATATTTGAGTTCTATTTTGTTTCCATGATTTTAAATGGTTGAATGGAACAAGGATTTATCATTACCACATTTATTTGGTTACAGTAAAAATAATTAAATTCATTGAAAATAATAGATAATTTCCTAAAAATAATTAGTTCAATTAATTGTCAAATACTTTGTTAGTAATTAGAATAGATTTCAATAATTTAAATGATATGAGGCCATTGTTAGATACACTTGTACACGGGTAAAACAGAGCCCACTGAGCACCTCGGTTTTCCGGTGAGGCAAACAGAGCAGGGACGTGACCATAAGGAATCAGAATCAGAATGAGGAACCCCTCGTATCAGGGCTCGAGCAAAATATCTGCCCTCGGAGGCATCGGGACCACGTCCTCCGGGTCCGATTCGAGTCCCAAGACTTCGGAGAGCATTACCAAACTACCGTACACGACTAACAAAGGGCCGTGATATTCGTGCCCAACCGGATATCAAGGCGTGAATCTCGGCCCGTATCGGCAGAAAATCAGTGATTAGCAAAAAGAAAGATTTTTACCTTTCTTAGAATTATACTTAGGGTAAAACTTCCCTACTATATAAAGGAAAAACTTATTATTTATTAGACATTGTAACACGCATACCAAGACAATATACTTTTGTTTTTTTTGTTTCTAAAAGTTATTCAAAGTTCTTCACAAGTGCAAACTCGGAACCGAAAGCAGGTTCCTTAAGCCATTAACCGAGCCCGGACTCGCTCTTATCATTGGTTTCTCATTTATTACGTCTTTTATTTGTTTAATTTAACGTTATTGATCACTTGTATTGAATTAATCCACATATCCTTAAAACTGCGTATAAATTCAATTATTATCCCTTTTTAAGGGTAAACAAGACTCTTTTAGTGCTGCATAAAAATTTACTTCTCACCATACAGTTTTTCTTTCGTAAAATTACATGCAAAAAATACTTTTTCCTTTTTGTGAGTTAAAAAATCCAATGTCCATATTAAGTGTCAAATAATCTCTTTAGTTAAATAACAAAGGAACTCCTTCAACAAATTGGATTAAAGAACAAACAATATTTTTCTTAGGAATTGTGATGTTTGTGAAGAAACTGGTAGAAATGATATCCGGTAGCAACTACTATTTAGAAATTAGCTAATGCATCATGAATTTCAGTTTTTCAGTAAAACTTTTCGGGACAAAAATGTCCTGAATTATTTTGACGTTAAAATTTTAGTTTAAAATTTCAGGACAAAATAAGTACTGGTTAATCTCTAAATAGCATCTATGAGACTGGCTATGTGTGCACTTGCCCCTTCTAGGCAGTGTAGGGGTCTTGATATTAGATGGGTTTCCATTAGCCCTTGGCAATGGGAAAATGACACTGTATAGCCGCTCTCAAAATAATAATCGAAATATATATATATATATATATATATATATATATCTTTTCAACTATTTAGTATAAATAATTTCTGCCATAGTATAAAAGTATAATACCCATGTAGATCAAGGCCCGCCCATTTCATGTCGCAGTCTATCAGTCAATCTTAAATGAGAATTGCTGTAGGCCATCTTTAGATTTTGAAGAAATACGAAATCAATTGGTTCCTAAATGAAAAATAAAATAAAATCAAATGCTGTCCTTTTCGTAAAATACAGGACTCCTTCGCTATATTTAAACTGTTATAGGGTAAGTCACGTGCTTATAATGAGATCAAATACAAGACTACACCACGAAGAAATTAAATACTACTAGGATTTTCAAAGGGAAAAGAGTTTACTCCCTCTGTCTTAAATTATTTATTGTATTTCTCTTTTATACATTTTTAAAAAAAATATTAAATAATTTTTTTTTACTTTTTTACTCTTATTTATGTTTTAAGATATATTCTCTCTTTATTTAATATTTATTCATAATTAATGTATTTGTAGTATTCAAGAACAATTAATATTAAGGGTAGAATAGGAAAAAAATAATTAAATTACTCTTAAACTTCTAAAATAACAAATAGTTTGAAATAACTATTTTTAGAAAGATGACATAATAGAGGGAGGGAGTAGTTGATTGGTTAACGACTTAATTAGTTAGGAGAATAAAAACAACCGAAACTGTCAAACTTTTATTCATGAAAATCAGTAGTGACCCCCTTGCTCTTTAACTTAGTTTTCGTTTTTCATTTTTGTTTTTACGATTACCGGTAATGAAGCGAAGCGACGATCTAATCCTTGTGTGGAAAAAGGGTAGAAGTACGAATACAAAGTAAGACGCCGCTCTTTGGAGCTTACAGTAGTATATATAGCTGAGAATTTGTCGAGGTAATTTGAGAAATTTCTTTGATCTTCGCCTTCCGTACCACAGCATCCTCTGATTGTTTTATATATGCCTGCATGAGAATTAGGAGAGAAGATGAACAGAAAGCGGAAATCGAAGACGATAATAAAAAGAATTAATTTGCAACTGTAACTTAATTAGTTCTGGCCTGACGTTTGTGAAATTCTATCAGCAATTGATCATGAGTATGAACATGATTTTCTCTCTAGTGTTGTCACACGCCTGCCCCGGCGAACTGAAGTTATCTGATCCCAATCAATTGTGTAGTTAGTCAAGTGCAAAAAGACACCGTACAATCAGGGAACACCGCAATTGATATGCTTCCTTCTCGAGTTTGCTAATTGAAACAAGGAAAGCCAGAGTTTTCTGAACTCAATCTCTCATGGCTGTTCTTTAATTAATTAAGAAGCATGGCTATATATATATGAGCAGCCATTGAGGGAGAGAGTTCAGAAAACGCTGGATTTCCGCTCTTCCATTAATGTCTCACTTCTGAATTCGTATAAAGTGTGTCAAAAGACGCTTATACATATGTTGGTGTATATATATGTGTATTGAATTGTGTGAATATATATAAGGGAATACTACTGGACTGGTGAGGAATATTTAAGTACAACGAAAGAGAGCTAGGAGCTTGACTTGAGAATTATATGGAGATAGCTAACCATTTATAGGGTAATTTCAGGTTAATTTACTCCAGTATTTTAATTGTTTCTCAATCAAGATGGACTAATATATATTTTAATATTAAAACGTATAGCTGTAACCTAAGCCTTGCTCTTTCCATCCCTCCTTTTTTTAATTTTTTGTTCCTTTTTAAAGTCAGTGTTATTGCTGGTGAACTTCCAAAGAGAAGTCTGATGCTAATTACCAAGAAATTTCAAATTAATGAACGGGTTGGGGAATTTCTGCCAAACTTGCACCTAAAGAAAAGGTAATTCCAGCCAAACATTACGTGTCATTGATACGGATAATCATGGACCACTCTTTTTTTTTGCCCTTTCTTATTTGTCTTCTTATTGTTTTCTGTTTTACATGACAGAGTAAAAAGGTAGGAAATATTTTTACTGCTCCATTCATCAGTTTCATTTTATCTGTCTTAAATCTTAATTTAAGCCGAGTATAAACTTCAAGATTGCAAAGAAATTTTTAGAATCTTCTTATAATCTTAATCATAAGTATCCTTTAATCTTGTGATTTCGTATATGACATGTCATTGACATTCCTATAAGAAAGTGTCATTACAAATAAAATTAAATTATCGAATTATACTACTAAATATAAAAATATGACATTCTATTCAAAACAATACAAACTAACGAGAAAAGTCATTATGAAGTCATGAAAATATTGAATAGCTTTTTGGTTCAAAACATGTTATACAGATCTTTGGTAGATGTTAATTATTACGTATGGTACCCGAATCTAACTTCAGAGTAACATTTTCATTTTCGAGTTTCTATCTGTTGCAACAATTAATTTTGCATTATGTCAAGATCTTTTTCATAAAATTGCTCCTTTCATCTCATGATACTGTTTGTTTTTTGGTTAACAAGAGAATCCATAGCCATTACTTTTCCGGCACGCACAGGGTAAATCCGCTCTTGTGTAACATTCCATAAATTACAATGGAAGGCAAAATGCACTAACCAAGCCCCGCGCAACAGATTCGACCGAGGATGTATACAAGTGAGTTTCGAATCCTAAATTTCTCATTTGGGAAGTCCCATGCTTAGTCAACTCAGCCACGCTGAAGTGGTTTTTGTTGTGAAAAGTCTGGTTAAAACTTGTAACAAATGGCCCTCCGACAAAATTCATATATGCCCTCGTTATACGCTGACATAACTACCATCGAAGCTTAATTAATGGTTGAAAATCGTTTACATCTCCAAAGTTTACTCTAAAAATTAAACTCATCCTCCAACTTTGAATAATTGTCATTTTCATCATTTTATTCTATACAATGTCTATTTTACCCTTGACATTTTCAACTCTCCATATATGTAATACCTTTTTTTATATTATTTAGATATTTTTAATGCATGTATTTATTCATAAGTTAAAAATATTATATCTATTATATAGTTTAATCTATAACATGCAGGCGACAACCAAAGGAGAATGTGACTATTAGGTCTGAAAGCACGCGTTGCACTCTTTTTTTTCCTCCTTGAACCAGTTTTGTTCCAAATGGGTTTTCCGGCAAGGTTTTTAACGAGTCAACAGTAAATTATGCTAACTTAGAATAAAATACCGATTTTAAATCGGAGTCAATGGTCTCATCAACAGTATCCGAGCCCTCTCAAGATCGACCTCGAATACTTGTGGCCATCACCTTCGGGTCAAGCTTCTTAGCAAGGAAGGAAGGAAACTTTGTACTTGAACAGTCTAGGCTCGGTAGTTAGGAGTTATTGTAAGGGCCAAACGGTCAAGTGAACCGTGCCCGCATAGGTCACCTTAGCCATAATACAAGCTTTTACACGCTTTCAATCTTGAACGTTACACACATAAATAAAAGGAAGTTTCTACCTTGCTATTACATACTTTTGCTTCTTAAAGCGTCGAGCCTAAGGGTTATTCCTACCCGGGGACTATCAAGCCCAAGGGCCACCCCTATTCGACCCCAAAGGGTTACCTCCACTCGGGGATTGTCGTCCGAAATGAATTCGGGCAGCTCGGGTCATCAAAACCTGGAGGCACAAAACCTATTAGGCAGTGCCTAAACCTAAAAGGGTACGACCACCCTAAAAAATAATTCGGAGACATGCGAAGTCTGTAATCAAAATGTAAGGCGTTCAACAAAATCCTAAACATGTTAAAAGGTTACCCTTGTCAAAGGCATCGTCTAAGAATACTTAAGCATCTTGGGAAGACTTTCGGTCACTCCGAATTTTCAGAAGTTTCGAGCAAAAATTGCATCGAGGTCAAGTTTTGTTCGGACCTTCTAAAAATAAATGACTTACTACTACGTTTGGTTCTATGCTAAGGCATTAAAAATATTTACAATTATAAAAAGATGCTAAGATAGTAGAGACTTGAAGTTGCCAAAAGGGAGAAATTATATATATTCCAGAATATCTTTACAAAGGCCCAGTAAAAATAGCCTCGAACTGAACAAAAAATATGTACATAATACAAAAACTAAAAAATCCTAAGGCATTTACGCCTGATCCTTGCCGGAGCCCGATTCGTCACCAGAACCGTCGAGGCCTTCGGATTCTTCGGAGCCCTCGGAGCTTTGGGGTTCGGTTAGCTTCTTCGCCTTGACCTTAAGTCTTTTTGCCTCCTCGATCTCGGCAGGTAGGTCGAAGCTTCGGGCATAGATTCTTCGAGGGTCTCCCTTCGAGATAACCGCCTCACGTACTCAGTAGTGGTCTTCAGGTGAGCCTCGACTGCTTCGACATCGGCCTTGTATCGAGCCACCATCTCGTTAGTGTCGGCCGAGGTTATCTCCAACTTGGACCTCATTATTTCAAGCTCTTTACCAAAGGCATGTCATTCAGTGATGGTCGAGCCAGTTGTGTTCGGAGATCCTCATTTTGCTGAGCCCGTTTATCAGCATTCTCCTTCACCACCCGAAGTTGAACTTCCACCGAAGACATCTTGGCCTGGGCGATCTCCTTCTCCGAGGCCAATAGGTCCATATTGCTTTTCCACCCGTCGACCATTACCTGGATCTCGTCCATCTCCTTTCAGAGTTGGTCGATCTGGCCGATCTTCTACTGGACCTACGAGGTATTGTTGTTATCCACTTCGACCAGATCCTTATTTCTAACTTCAAAAACCATTACCTTTTCCACCAAGTTGGCGTGCTCCGGCCTTAAGACCGATGTTTCTTTCTGAGTTGCATCCAACTCGGCCTGGATGTTCTTAACGACCCCTTCTTGTTGCTCGCTGAGAAGCCTGTACATGTCCCTTTTCTGGGAAAGCTCCTTGATCTCGAGCTCAAGCTGGTTGGACTCAACCTGGTACAGAAGGAAGCTCTCATGATGAAGCACCGAGGCCTGCAAAAAGGTGAAGAACGTGAGAAATATCAAAAACCTAAGTAAAAGCTCGAAGGGAAGTAATGATGCCTTACCCAGTTCAGCGCCTGCTGCGCCTCATTGAAAAGGTACAGCACGTTCACCTCGTTCATTTTTGCCCGGTCCTCCTCGGTCATCAGGCATCAGAGATAGCTAGTTATCCCTACACGAGAAGACAAAACCTGAGCATCCTCCTGGACGGTCAGAATAACCAATCTCTTGCGACCGGGGTTCATACTCGGAGCAGGGAACTGGTTGATCAATTTTAGGCTCGAGCTCGACCCTCCACCTTCCGAGGATGCGTCCTTCTTTGGAGCTTCCAAGCCGCCCAACCCGGAGAAGTCTTCCAAAGCAGATGAGTCCACGCCATCCAAAAAGAAGTGAAAGGGAAAGTCTGCACCATGGACCCCCTCATTGGACTTCTCTTTTCTCGCTTGGGCCTTCTCGAGCATGGACTAAGTATAGAAGGGTGTCCACGAAATCTCTATTACATAGGGCGCTTCCTTTGGAGCGGAGCTGACATCCTAGGGAGACTCATCCCGGGTATCCACATCGATCTCTTGGGTATGAGGGGGGTCGAACTCATGTGTCTTCCCCTCGGATGCCTCCTGCTCAGCGGTAAAGGTCGTCCTGTGGGTAACAAAAATAAGCTCATCATACGGCTCGTCTCTAAGTCGGAGAAGAGAGTCGAAATCCGGCACCCGGGAGCTAGAGCCCCTCCTGGGATTGCAAGCCACCCTTTTCTTTAGTTTCTTCACCTCGGAGCCCGGGGAGCCCGAAGATTTTCTTTTCTTTTCCCCTGTGGCAGCCTCGGGCTGCCCCGCAACGGACGGGGGCACATCCTCGTCCCCTTCCAAAGGTCTAAGTTCGGGGTCTTAGGCAAACCCGCAATAACAAAGGGGAAGAGAAGTTAGTGTAATGAAAGATAGAAACATGATATTAACTATTCAGAAAGAGGCCTTAAAATGAGAACGGGCCTCTCATCGGCCCTTGTAGAGTCCGCGCCATGTGCGCTCGGATTACAACATCTGAGTACAGTGGTCACATTCTCCTTGAACAATTGTCATTTTCATCCTTTTATTCTACATAATGTCTATTTTACCCTTGACATTTTCAACTCTCCATATATGTAATACCTTTTTTATATTATTTAGATATTTTCAATGCATATACTTATTCATAAGTTAAAAATATTATATCTATTATATAATTTAATCTAAGTTCACTAACATTATAAAAAAAATAATTATATTATGAATTTATTACAAAATATATTGCTACTTTATTATTATTATTATTATTTTAATATTATGTATATTTAAATACATATAATGTATGTCGGTGTGTGTGTGAGATTTTAAGTTTAACTATTTTTATTATTCTCTATGTGTATATAAATTTTTGAGTTTTGATTGTTATTACTAGATTGTTTTCTAATTATAATTAAAGTTCATGTAAAGTGTAAATAGATATTTGTTGCAAATTTATTATAAAACTTACCTCTATTTTTTGTCCATTATTTTTTTTATTTCCTGCATTGTATAATTTATAAAATTTTCACTCTCTTGTATTCTCAATTTTGT